GCAACCATTCTTCATGTTTTAGCCTCCAGGCTCCTAATCATCTTTGTTGCTCTTCTATGCACTTTCTAGAGTCTCAACATCTTTTTTATAGTGTGGCGACCAAAATTGGTTGCAGTATTCTAGGTGTGGTCTTACTAAAGCTGTATAGAGGGGTATTAATACATCGTGTGATCTTGATTGAATCCTTCTGTTAATGCAACTTAAGATGGCATTGGCTTTTTTGGCTGCCACCACACACTGTTGGCTCGTATTTAATTGATTGTCCACTAAGACTCCAAGATCCCTCTCACAGTTGCTGCTATTAAGCCTGGTTTCACCCAATCTATATACAGTATGTACTTTTGGTTTTTCTTGCCTAAGTATAAGACTTTACTTTTCTCTATGTTGAATTTCATTTTGTTGGATAGCGCCCAGTGTTCAAGTCTGTCAAGATCCCTCTGGATCTTGACCCTATCATCTAGGGCAGGAGTGTCAAACTGCCAGTCTGCAGGCCGGTTGCATCATGCGGAGGCCGCACCTACCCCCCAGCTCTGGCAATGCGAAAAAAAGTCACGATACGTTGCGACACATCATGTGACGTGGCGAGTTTGACCCCCGTGATCTAGGGTGTTGGTTATTTCTGCAGCTTAGTGTCATCTGCAAATTTAAAAAGTTCCCCTTCTATTCCCTCATCTCGTTTATGAAGATGTTGAAGAGTACTGGGCCTAGGACAGATTTATGTTCATCAGGATTAGACAGGTGTACATAAATCACCAGGACCTGACAGACTATGTCCCAGAGTTCTGAAGGAGTTGGCAGATGTCATTTCAGAACTACTGTATCATATCTTTCAAAAATCCTGGAGCATCGGTGAACTACCAGAGGATTGGAAAAGGACTGACGTGATTCCCATCTTCAAAAAAAGAAAGAAAACTGACCCAGGAAACTACAGAATAATCAGCCTAACATCAATACCTGGGAAGATACTGGAAAAGATAATCAAAAAATAGATCATCTAGAAACAAATATCTGGAAACAAACAAAATTATAACTAGAAGCCAACACGGGTTTGTTAAAAAACAGATAATGCCAAACCAATTTTATTTCATTCTTTAATAAAGTGACTAAATTAGTAGACCAGCTATAGACGTGGTATACTTGGACTTCAGCAAGGCATTCGACAAAGTAGATCACAACCTACTCCTTGGTAAGCTTAAAAAAAGTGGGATAGACAGCATCACCAATTATAATAGCTCAAACATAAATACAGGTGATCCTCGACTTACAACAGTTTGTTTAGCGACCAAAGCTGTTGGTGAAAAAAGTGACTTTTGACCCTTTTTCACAGTTACGACCATTGCAGCATCCCCATGGTCACATGATCCAAATTCAGAGAGTAGAAAGCTGACTCATATTTATAACGGTTGCAGTGTCCCAGGGTCATGTGATCAGCTTTTGAGACCTTCTGACAAGCAAAGTCAACCAGATTCACTTAACAACCGTGTAACTAACTTAGCAAATGCAGTGATTCACTTAACAACTGTGGCAAGAAAGGTCGTAAAATGGGGAAAAACTCACTTGACAAATGTCTCGCTTAGCAACGTAAATTTTGGGTTCAATTGTAGTCGTAAGTCAAGGACTACCTGTAATCTGCCAGCCTCCAGATTTATTGTACTTTTCTTAAGTTTCAAATGTTGCTTGTAATGGACCACCTCAATTCAAATACGGAATGCGCCATTTTGCACCTAAAAGAATCTGCTATAAGTGATGGCGAACCTTTTAGAGACCGAGTGCCCAAAAACTGGCCCCGCCCCCGCTCCACCCCCTGCTCCGCCCCATCCCCCACCCCGCCTGCCCGCAAGACCACTCACCACCTCCAGGGCCCGCCGCAGATTGCCCAGGCAGCCCAGCAGCGCTATGGCAGTCACGCCCTCTGCCCGCGCCCTGCAGCATCAACTGTGCACGATGGGGTGTGAGGGCAGTCTTGTCTATGCTGCCTGGCTGCCATGTCCTTGGCTGCGCTGCTCCGTGTGGGCCACGCTCAGGGGCGACTCTCCTTCAGGGGGGCTGCTGGAGAGGAAGGGGTCACGGGGGGAGGGGAGGCTGGGACAACGGCACGTGTGCCCACAGAAAGGGCTCCGAGTTCCGCCTCTGGCACCTGTGCCATAGTTTCACCACCACTGTGCTATAATGTGCAAGCTAATAGTCCATGTGTCATTTAAGGAATTCAGGTCACGCTCTTTTCCCCTTTATTTTGTTAAAATTGAGGCTTTAACGTAGAGACTTTAAGGACAGCTTCCCATAGAAAAAGGAAAGAAAAAAAGGAAGCCAAGCTGCAGAAAAAATAGCTCAATATTTTTTTAATTTTTTTATTAGCGTATAAAATATGAAAATACAAAAGCAAATAATAGGAAACAAAGGTAAGGGGAAGGGAAAAAGAGAAGTGTGGAAGAGAGGGGGGAAATAAAAAAAAAAGTGTTGACTTCCGACTTCCTGTGTTGCAGTAAAATAAGGCATTAGCATCAAATCTCAACTTTTTACATTTCTGTTGTTGTTAGTTGCGAAGTCATGTCCGACCCATCGCGACCCCATGGACAACGTTCTTCCAGGCCTTCCTGCCCTCTACCATCTTCTGGAGTCCATTTAAGCTCACGCCTACTGCTTCAGTGACTCCATCCAGCCACCTCATTCTCTGTCGTCCCCTTCTTCTATTGCCCTCAATCTTTCCCAGCATTAGGCTCTTCTCCAGTGAGTCCTTCCTTCTCATTAGGTGCCCAAAGTACTTGAGTTTCAACTTCAGGATCTGGCCTTCTAGAGAGCAGTAGGGGTTGATCTCCTCTAGGACTGACCGGTTGGATCGCCTGGCAGTCCAGGGGACTCGCAGGAGTCTTCTCCAGCACCATAGTTCAAAGGCCTCAATTCTTTGGCGCTCAGCCTTTCTTATGGTCCAACTTTCACAGCCATACATTGCAACTGGGAACATTTCTATAGTAATATAAACTAGCCATTTCTGCATCAACAAATCAGTCTAATCAGTAAAACCCAAAATCAAAGTATCATTTTTTTTCACCTTAAGCACAAACTCCAGAAGCGGTTTCCAAATAGAAACTAAATTATTTATATTCTTTTCTTTTATCAAAACAGTCAATTTAGCCATCTTTGCTAATTCCATCAACTTTTGCAGCCATTTGTCCATGGTGGAAATCGAAACATCCTTCCATTTTTATGCATAGTCTTGCTGCCATCAACATACATAAAATCAGAGTTCCACATTTTTTCCAAGTCTTTTTCTATTAAGCACAGAAGAAAATTTTTTTTATCTTTATCTTTATATTCACTTTAAGAATTTTCTCCTGCTCCAATATGTTTTGCTTTATCACATGTCCACCAAAAATGATAAAAAGTCCCTTCTTTACACTTACATTGCAAACATTTGAGATACCTTTATACATTTGAGATAAATTATCTGGTGTTAAATATCAGTGATACGTCATTTTATAAAAGTTTTCTTTTAAATTATAATTTAGTGTGAATTTTAAGCCTTTTGTCCACATATTCTCCCACTGTTCAAGCATCACATTATACCCAAAGTTCCTTGCCCACTGTATCATACAATGTTTTACATGTTTACTTTCCAAATTCAATTTCAATAACGTTTTATTAGCAAAAATATGTTCATCACTACCACATAGTGAAGTTCCCAATTCGTTTTTAACAAAATCAAACCCATAACTCTTTTTATCTAGTTTAATTTTTTCTTTCATTTGTAAGTATGTAAACCAATCACAGACTTGATCTTCTGATTCTAACTTTCCTTAGATTTGAGGGTGGGGTCACCAAAATTAAAAGATATTATTTTACCATAAGTCCACCAGTCTGGCTTCACTGCCATTTCTTTTCTAAAAAAGGCTTCTTGGGGGGGGGG